TAATTAAATAAACAAGATAGGCCAAAAGTGAAGCCTCTTGTGCCAAACAGCCAAGTTGTGAATGCAAAGGAAAAGTTATTGAAGGGAATTAAAAGTGCTACTTCAGTGAACACACAAATGACAAGAGTGTAAAACAGCCCTGGCCAGGCGCAGTGGTTCACACCTGTAATCCCAGCTACTCAGGAGGCTGAGACCCCAGAGTCACTTCAACCCATGAGGCGGAGGCTGCAGTGAGCCAAGATCACGCCACTGCACTGCAGTCCAGTCTAGGTGACAGAGTGAGACTGTGTCTCAAAAAAAAATTTTTTTTTAAAGGTGAAGAAAACAGCCTTATTGTTGGTATAGAGAAAGTTTTAGTGGTCCAGATAGATCAAGCCAGCCATAACATTCCCTTGACCCAAAGCCTAATTCAGAGAAAGCTCCTATTCAATTCTGTAAATTGACATGCGGAAGCTACAGAAGAAAAGCGGAAACTAGCAGAGGTTGGTTCATGAGGTTGAAGGAAAAAAGCCATCTCCACAGCATAAAAGTGCAAGACGAAGCAGCAAGTGCTGGTGGAGAATCTGCAGCAAGTTATCTAGAAGATCTAGCTAAGATCACTGATGAAGGTGGCTACACTAAACGACACATTTTAAATGAAGAAAGAAACCACCTTCTATTGGAAGATGCCATCTAAGACTTTCATAGCCAGAGAGATGAAGCCAATGTCTGGCTTTAAAGCTTCAGAGGACAGGCTGACTCTCGTTAGGGGCTAAGGCAGCTGGTGATTTCAAGTTAAAGCCAATGTTAGCTTCCTATTCTGAAAATCCCAGGGTCCTTAAGAACAATGTTAATTCTACTCTGCCTCTGCGCTACAAATGGAATAACAAAGCCTGGATGACAGCACATCTGTTTACAGCACGGTTTACTGAATATTTTAAGCCCACTGTTGAGATCTACCGCTCAGAAAAATTCCTATCAAAATATTACGGTTCATTGGCAAAGTACCTGTTGCCCAAGAGCTCTGAGAGAGATGTACAAGGAGAGGAATGAAGTTTTCATGCTTGTTAACACCACATCCATTCTGCAGCCCATAGATTAGGAAGTCACTTTGACTTTTAAGTCTTAAAAGAAATATGTTTCATAAGGGTAGAGCGGCCATAGATAGTGATTCCTCTGATGGTTCTGGGCTAAGTACATCGACAACATCCTGGAAAGGATTCACCATTCTAGATGCCATTAACATTCGTGATACGACACATGGGAGGAGGTGAAAACAGCATTATGAACAGGAGTTTGGAAGACCTTGCTTCCAACTGTCATGGATAACTCTGAGGGATTCGCGTTTTCAGTAGAGAAAGTAAATGCAGATATGGTAGAAACAGCAAGAGAACTAGAATTAGAAGTGGAACCTGAAGATGTGACTGAATTGCTGCAATCTCATAATAAAACTTGAACGGATAAGGAGTTCCTTCTTAGGGATGAGGAAAGAAAGTGGTTTCCTGAAATGGAATCTACCCCTAGTGAAGATACTGTGAACACTGTTGAAATGACAACAAAGGATCTAGAATATTGCATACACTTATTGATAAAGCAATGGCAGTGTTTGGGAGTATTGAGTTCAATTTTGAAAGAAGTTCTGCTGTGGATAAAATGCTTTCAAATAGCATCACATACTCCGGAGAAATCTTTAATGAAAGGAAGAGTCAACTGATGTGGCAAACCTAATTGTTATCTTAAGAAACTGCCAGACATTTCAGTCTCCAGCAACCACCACCCTGATTTGTCAGCAGCCATCACCATTGAGGGAAGACCATCCACCAGCAAAAAGATGATGATTTGCTGAAGGTCCAGACGACTGATAGTATTTAATTAGGTCATGTACATTAGCTGGGCACAGTGACTCACACCTGCAATCCCAGCACTTTGGGAGGCCAAGGTGGGAGGATCACTTGAGCCCAGGAGTTCAAGACCAACTTGTGCAACATAGGGAGACCCCATCTCTACAAAAAATGTAAAAATCAGCTGGGAGTAGTGGTGTGCACGTATAGTGCCAGCTACTCAGGAGGCTGAGGTGGGAGGATCACTTGCGCCCAGGAGGTCCACGTTGCAGTGAGCTATGACTGCACCACTGCACTCCAGCCTGGGTGACAGAACAAGGCCTTGTCTCAAAAAAAAAGAAATGTACATTGCTTTTTTAGACATGTTACTGCACACTTACTACAGTATAGTGTAAACATAAGTTTTATATGCACTGGAAAATCAATTTGTGTGACTCATTTTATTGCAGTGGTCTAGAAACAAACCAAGATATGCCTGTACTACAGGAACTAAACTTTTCTCAGATGTTTTTCACTAGCAAAAAAGAAAAATTCACTTCAAATATGATAAAAATAGTATAACTTTTAATGTTACTGAAATTTAAAACAAGAATTGATCGAGGTCTAAATCAACATCAGTTTAGAATACCTAAACTGAAAATGTTAAATTTAAAAACTAAAATTTTATATTAACACTTTGAAATGCATCTTTTGTAACTCTTAAGATAATTTTAATTATTTTCTAAAAATTAAGACATCACAAAATACAAAGGGAAAAAGGTTTCCATAACCTTTCGAGATATGAACTAAGATCCTACCTTTCTACCTCAAATCAACGTTCAGGAAAGGACAGTTTTCAAAATTATTTTTTACATTATAGAATACAATATAAATAATTTCCTCTACAGGACCCAATCTTTTTTTTTTAAGGAGGCTAGCTTTAACAGTAGGATTTTCTTAGACAATTTCTCCAACTCCCTAAAAGAACAGACATCTATCTGACTAGCTGGAGAACATGGTTTTGAGGACTGAGGGAGTAAGTTATGTAATTTCTATCAAGAAACATGGTGCTTTTCAAAAAACATTTTAGTATAAAACGTTTTAATGATCCTTACTGCCTCCTCACAATCTGACTGCTGGATTCATGGAACTTCATTCCTAATCTAACATTATTCACTTTCAGTGGGCTTCCAGCCTCAAAGAATAAGGCTTTTTAGGTCCCATCTCCTCTCAGAGTTTGCCCCAGTATTCTTTGCCCCAAATCGTAAACACGGAGTTTTGATTTCCATGTCTTTATTTACCCAATGACTTGCTTCTTGATGCATCACCACTTAATGATGTTATGTGTCCTCCTAATCAGCGTCTACACTGAAGTCTTAGGTGATTGTGGGCGCCCTTAAAAGGAAACGTGTTTTAAATAATCTTTGCCTGTGTTCATTATTAAACTAGATTATTTGATAGTGACCTGAAATTTTTTAAAGGAAAACGTTATAATACTGACTTTGATGTCTCTGCACTTTAATAAACAAGAAGGTTCAAAGTGATGGTAGGTTCAGCCTATTTTTCCCCTCCAAGGACAACCACAAATGCAAAACACAAAGATATTGGGACAAAAACATCCTTAAAATGTTCCTTGTTTGAATGTCATAGGGCTTTTCCAATTAACTGACTAATATAACTGGATGAAAATATTACCTATACTGTACTCCAACAAAAATACGTTGAATGCTATTTACTTTTATGTGTCTTTTAACTACATCTGTGTGCTTGCATCCGACTGTTCAGAAGTTTTCAAACATGGGACAGAGTGCTCAACTCTCGAAGACATCATTTTCATTACCCGTTTCCCAAATAAAATTTAAGGTTGAGGCTCTGGTATTTCATATAGTAGTGGTCTGTTTTTCCGGCCATGAAAACGTTTACATTCTAAGTAAAAATTGCAGCGATGGTTAAGTCTTAAATAAATACAAATCTCCAAACTCTTGCACTGCCTTCAGCTTTCAGCTTGAATGTATAACCAGTTCCCATAATTACTACAATATTACTATTATCTTAGTCTCATTGCCAAAATCCCAGCTGCAGGCTAACTATGCAAGAATGAGACACTGTTGAAATGACTCGGGGGCGGGGGGGAAACTTTACCCTCACTGAATTTAGCTACAAAATCCTGCAATTAAATGAAACCAATTCTCACACACACACACACACACACACACCTTCTTCTAAGAAAGAACAGGATGCCGCTACACAAGGAACCCAGACAGAAATTCGGCACAGTTGCGCCCAAGCCACCGCGGCAGAGTCGGGCACTGGGGGCGGAGAAGAGGAGGAAACTTGGGAAGCACAAAGACTCCAGTGAGGGCTCTAGGGCTCCCGCCAAGAATCCCACGGGGCTCTATCAAACTTGAGGGTTTGCGTTCGGGCACACGGCGGGCTTGGAGCTCCGGCACCGGCAGGCCGCTCGGAGCCCACCCTTGGCTGCTCGCGGGGCCGCGCCCGGAGCCCGGTCGGGCCGTTGCGAGCCTCCCTCTCGCGTCCGGCCGAACCCTGCCGGCGTCCCCGCGATTTCCCTCTTCCTCCTCCTGCCTCTCCCCTTTTGTTTTTCAGGCATTGGGTCCGCTCCGGCGAGGGCCGGTCCGTCCTCCGCCTCTGGCCGCCCTCAGCGCCCCCCGAGCCCCGGCCTCCTCCGCTTCCTCAGGCCCCTCGGCCTCTCCGCGAGTCCGGCCATTTCGAAAGTCGCCCCCCCATCCTCCTCACGTCCCCCGGACTCCCCACGTCCCCCAGCCTTTCTGTCTTCCCCGAACCTCTTGGCCTCCCCGCGCGCCCCCGGAATCCCCGACCTCCTCAAGCCCCCGCCTCCCCACGTCCCTCAGTCGCCCAGTTTTCCCCAAGCCTCCCGACCACCCAGCGCCCCAAGCTCCCGCCTCCCAGCGCGCGCCCCCTGACCTCCTTAAGCCTCTGAGCCTCTCGGAGCCTCTCGGCCTCCGCGGGCGCCCCAACCTCCTCACGGTCACCGGCCTCCCCTCCTCCCAGAACCGGGACCGGGGGCGCGGGAGGGGCCGGTCTCCGCTGCATCCGCCCCGGGACTGGATGGGCGGCCCCGCTCTGCCCCTCCGCCCTCAGGGCCGCGGCCCAGCCCACGACCGCTGCACAGAATCAGCCCGCCCAGCCCCCGGCCCGCGCCCCGCGCCCCGCACTCACTCGGACCGCGGCTGGGCGCCGTGAGGCTAAGGCAGACGACGACCGGGCGGCGCCGGGCGACGGCAGCCGCGCTACCTCCCACGCCTCACGCCGCGGGCGCACAGCGGTCCCGGCCCGGCGGCGGCGGCTGCGGCGGCGCGGGCTCGCGCCCTCGGGGCCGTGCTGCGTCGGCGCGGGCCCGCGCGCGTGCGCGGCAGCCGGCTGAGGCGCGCGCCCTCCCTCGGCAGCGCACGCCCGGCCCCGTCTCGGTCAGGAGTTTCCGCCTCTCGAGGGGACTGGGCATGCGCGCCGGTGCCCGCGCATGCCCAGCGCGCAGTCAGGCTCCGCTCCCGTAATTTGCTCTGTGGTGACCAGGCCGGAGTTTCGGGGTGGCTCGAGGCCGCGCGCGGGCGTGGCGGCCGGACGGGGAAAGCCCTGGTCTCGGGAGTGGCCGGGGTCGCCCCGCCGAGCGGACATCCTGGGGTCCCACCTGCCGCGCTCTCAGCCAGCGGGATTAGACGGACTTCGGGAAAGCCCTCCCTGTCCCCTTCCCTGCCCCCAAATCCCTAAGGGGTCCCCTCTGGAGAACCTCCCTCCTGCGCTGCCCTGCCGCCCCGCCCCCAGAGTTGGGCACCCGCTGCGGACCCCGGGCCTTGCAGTGCACTCTCCAGGCACCACACCGACCCTAACGAGCGGTTCCTGGGCCCTATTTGCAGATAAGGAAACTGAGGTTCAGAGATTCTTTTCATGGCATTATAGCCAAGTTGGGCTGGGCCATGATTTGATTTTGGAAGATGAAAAATCATGAAAGGGACTTAGAAGTCCACTGGAGGTAGACAGGTTACCTAAATGAACGCCAGCAGGGAACGAGCCCCGCAGTCCCTCCTGAGGCCTACAGACCTGAGACGGACTCCTCCAGGCGAAGGAGGGAAGGCTCGCCCCGACACCGACCCGGGCTTCCGCGGTGTGAGCCAGTTTGTCAGCGAGGAGCTGGTTGGTTATGACTGGAACGTGCCGTAGGTGGGGTGGGGGAAATAGCAAAAGGCGAGGTTGGAGGGCTTGAAAAATGCAGACGGCTGCGCGGGGCCTTGCTTAGGTGCCTGGAGTTTATTCTTTAGGCAACAGAGAGCCTTTGGAGGGCTTTAAGCAGGAAGTGATAACTGATTTGTGTTACTTAAAAAAAAAAGTCACTCTGGCAACCTTGCGGTCGGAAATGAAACCAGAAGAACCCTCAAGGCTGCAACTTTCATTTTTATGGTGTCATTTTGATGCTAACCACAGGCCAGGAGGCAGGACAGACAGGCACCCGAGGCCTTTTTGAAAGGTGAACACCCTGAAGCCCAGAGAGGTGACACACGTCATTGCATTAGGAGCTTTAAATCAAGTAAAAATCAAGTAAAAAAGCTTTTGCTTATCAAGATTTTACCATATTTAAATGTTATGGGTTTTATTGTTCTTTAATGAGATGTATTAAGGTTGGTGTTTTTCTGGGTTTTGTTACTTTTTACTACATATAAACTTGTAAGGAATTGCCTCTCCATGCCAGCCTCCGGCCTCTGTGCGTGCTGTTTGCTCTGTCTGGAACTTCTTGCTCCTCACTTCGTTCAAGACCCTGCTTTTATGTCACCTCATTGATACCAGCCGACCACTCTGTATATAATAGGAACCACCCACTGCCCTGCCATCCTCACACACAGTCCACACTTAGTCTGTTCTGTTGTTCTCCAAAGCACCTATTGTTCACCATGGCCCAACACTGTGTTCTTGTTTATTTCTTGATTGCTCTCTCCACTAGAATCTTAGATTCATTAGAGCAAGGGCTTTGTTTTGTTCACTAATAGGTCCTGGCACACAATAAGTATTTGTCCAGTGAATGAACGAAGCTTTGGGTGATGTGAAGTGAGAGCTTGTTATTAAAAGGATAAGAAGAGCATGGGAATTAAAAGAAGGGAGTGGAGGCACAAAGGGACTGCATTAAGGATAACTTTGGGGGAAGGGGCTGCACTTAGCATGGTAGACTAAAAATGGCCATCAATTATTTGATACTTTTCCCAAGAAGAGGTGGAATTTATTCACCCCTTGAATGTGGATGGATCTTGTAACTTGCTTTGACCAATAGGATGTGTCACAAGTGACACTATACAAATTCCAAGCTTAGGCCTCAAGAGGCCCTGCTGCTTTCACTTTCCCCCTCTTCAGCCCAAGCTAGCCTCATGAGGAGGCCGTGTGGAAGAGAACTGAGCACCCTGGCCAGCAAGCTGCCATCTCCAGACATGTGAGTGAGCTGTGCTAGACCTCCCAGCCCCTGTGAAGCACTCAGCCCGCTGCAGCTACATAAGACCTGGAGAGACTGATGGAAGAACTGCCCAGCTGAACCCAGCCCAAATTGCCAAACCACGGAATTGTGAGCCAATAAAATACATGTGGTTTGAAGCCTTTAGGTTTTAAGGTAGTGTGTTACACAATATTGTTTCCTGGACTCTGCCACGATACATTTGAAACTGACGTTCTTGAAGGGCAGCTTTGATTATTATTGTGCTGAATAAAAGAAGAAAATCAGAAAAGGGTGGGAAGAAGTGATGCAAAGGAGAAGGGCAGACAGAGATACAAACGGGAAAAGGGACAAACCTAGGAAACAGTGGCTTGTCTTACCTCTTGGGCATACTTTGTGGTGTCTAAGAACTCAGGCTGAGAAGTAAGATGAACATTGGCACAGACCCAGGCTCAAGTTTAACCATTCACCAATAAACCTGTGAAGGTTGTATAATGTCTCTGAGCCTCAATTTCTCATCTGTAAAATGGAGACTCTAAAGGATGTACCTTAAAATTAGGTTGTAGAGAGGCCAGGCGTGGTGGCTCACGCCTATAATCCCAGCACTTTGGGAGGCCAAGGCGGGCAGATTACTTGAGGTCAGGAGTTCAATACCAGCCTGACTAACCACAGTGAAACCCTGTCTCTACTAAAAATACAAAAATTAGTTGGGCATGGTGGCACATGCCTGTAATCCCAGCTACTTGGGAGACTGAGGCAGGAGAATTGCTTGAACCCGGGAGGCAGAGGTTGCAGTGAGCTGAGGTTGGCCCATTGCACTCCAGCCTGGGCAAAGAAGCAAGACTCCATCTCAAAAAAAAAAAGAAAAAAGAAACGAGAACTACTACTCAGAAAAAAAAAAAAAAAGCAGCAGCAGCAGCAATGAGTCAGATAGCAGGGCTGGAACTCAAGGCTGCATCTGTCCAACTGCAAAGCCTGTGCTCCTTCCTCTCCCTAGCACAGTCTCTGATGCACTCATACCCCATACAAAAAAACAAAGCAGAGAACACAATTTGGCGTCTCCCCTTCCTGCACTGCGCCAGATGGGCTGAGCGCTGACCTTGCGTGGGAAGCGTTCAGGAAGAGCTTCCTGTGTCTTGGCAGAGCAGCTGCGCTGAGCCTGGGAGCAGTTCCCCCTTGAAAACCCCCCCACCTCCCTGGTCGGCTAAGGGCTCCCTCCCAGGAGGGGCTCACTCACGCTGGAGGAGCAGAAACACACGTTAAGGCCAGGGGTGGATGCACAGTCATGGGGGCGTGGAAGCTGATATCACAGAAGAGACGCTGAAGCCCAGGTTCCTGCCCACATCACAGCTGACCACCCTGCAGATCTGCCTGGAGAAGCTGTAATGAGAGAAAGTGAGACCCAGGGGATAGGTGCCTGGGGTACTTTTCAATCCAGTTAAATGTGCCCCTGGGAGTTATGGGCCTCTCACATCGCCACAGCATGCTGGGCCTCAAGAATCTGGAGAGTGGTGGAATGGAGAAAGGGTCTGACAGACCTGGCCTCCAATCCCAGCTCCCACACGTGACAACCCCATGGCCCCAAGCAGGTTGCTCAACCTCCCGGAGTCTCAGCTTCCTCCCTGTAAAATGGGGAGAGTGGAAGAGCAGAAGGCAGGGGCAGAGGATGCCCCTAGGGAAGACACCTAGAAGGAAAGCAGGCGTAGAGGAGGGGGCTGAAGACAGAGTCCCACCTCCAAATTCTGTCCCGTATAAAGTCAAATGGGCCCTTGCCCTCTCCTGAGGCCACAGTCACCACTTGCAGCTTGCCCAGGAGTGAGCAAAGCAAATCCGTGGTCACTATTCAGGAACATTCTGGGCTCACAGAATAATTAGGCTATGCAGGATTGTTGGTTTTTTGTTTTTTGTTTTCTTTTTTTTTTTGAGACTGAGTCTCATTCTATTGCCCAGGCTGGTGTGCAATGGTGCAATCTCGGCTCACTGCAATCTCTGCCTCCTGGGTTCAAGTGATTCTCATGCCTCAGCCTCTGGAGTAGCAGGGATTATAGGTGCCCGCCACCATGCCCGGCTAATTTTTGTATTTTTAATAGAGACAGGGTTTCACTATGTTGGCCGGGCTGGTCTCGAACTCCTGACCTGAAATAATCCTCCCATCTCGGCCTCCCAAAGTGCTGGGATTACAGGCGTAAGCCACCATGCCTGGCCTCTATGCAGGTTTTACCACAAGTTGAAATTTCACTTTCCACAGACACGTCACGTAGGAATGCAGAGATAGGGGGAAGAGGGGTCCCGCAGGGGTGCCCATCTCCTGCGGGGACGTGGGAGCAACTCTTCCTAGGTTGAAGAGCATCCCAGCCCCTCCTGCTCACATAGATTGCGCCCAGTTTACCCCACCAGGGTGTTCCAGGACCCTGTGGCGCAAGAGGCGTTAACAGGGCCTCTTCTAGGTCTCACCCATACTGAGTGCCCCCAAGTTCCCCTGAGTGGAAGTGAGCAAGCCCTGTCGGGAGGCTGAGCTGCCTAGAGCAGGACCTCACCGTAGGGGTCTGTCCCAGGGATACTGCTCCCTGGCCTGGGCCCCAAGCCCACTCCCACCTCCAAACCCCCTCCTCCAAAATACTGCATGTGAAGGAAAATCCTCCCCTCTGCAAGGCTCAGCAGGTCCAGGCCAGGAACAATCCCCCACCTGCCTGACCTGAGATACCCCTTCAGTCTGGACCTGGTAGAAAAGGCTCCAATCACAGTTCATCTAGAGCTAATGAGTACTCTGTACCTGCTACTGTCCCTACAACAGCCTTTAGAGGGGAAAAATGTTCACATTTTCTGGGGAATTCTGCCTCAAATCATTTATTATCTCATTTACTTTTCACGACTGCCTTAGATAAGTATTACTAAGCATGTTTTACAGATGGGTAAATTGAGTCCAGAAGGTGATGACTATCCAGCTCCAGTCTACCTAGCAAGTAAGGGGCAGAGCCAGGATTCAAACCCAGCTTGTCTGGCTCTGAAATGGTGCTCATGGCACCACAGCACGTGCTGGGATTACGGGCTTGTGTCTTCATGCCTGCCCTGAAGGCGACTAGAAAGAGAGTCTACGTGAGGAGGTGAGGCCTACATGGCTTCTCCCTGCCATAGGTTCTTCACTTTATAAAGACCATGCAGTTGCAGGGATGCCATCAAACCAGTTCTAGTCGTGGAACTGATAAAATCCCCTTTCTTTCTTTTCTTTTTTTCTTTTTTCTTTCTTTCTTTCTTTTTTTTTTTTTTTTTTTTTTTTTTTTTGAGAGAGAGTCTTGCTCTGTTGCCCAGACTGGAGTGCAGTGGCACAATCTTAGCCCATTGCAACCTCTGCCTCCTGGTTTCAAGTGATTCTCATGCCTCCTCAGCCTCCCAAGTAGCTGGGATTACAGGCATTCATAACCATGCCCAGCTAATTTGTGTACTGTTTTAGTAGAGATGGGGTCTCACCATGTTGTCCAGGCTGGTCTCGAACCCCTAACTTTAGGTGATCCGCCCGCCTCTGCCTCCCAAAGTGCTAGGATTACAGGTGTGAGCCGCCATGCCCAGCCTAAAATTCCCTTTCTTGATCTTTTTCATTGTTTTGGTTAGTATTAACTCCTCATTAAATAAATGTCCTCTCTGCAAATCTTGCAAATCTTGTTGGAATTATGTTCAACAGGAGGCTTCCATTGTTTCAGTTTGTAAAATTTAAACAGACTGCCACTTAGAAGAGTTTCCATTTCTTTCTTCTTCTCAGCTTTGTTTTTTGTTTGTTTGTTTGTTGTTTTGGGTTTTTTGTTTTTTTTTTTTTCCTGAGCTCCATTTTTGTATTTTCGGGGTTGTTTGTTTGTTTGTTTTGGAGATGGGATCTCACTTGGTCATCCAGGCTGGAGTGCAGTGGCACAATCTCAGCTCACTGCAACCTCCGCCTCCAGGGCTCAAGTGATCCTCCCACCTCAGCCTCCTGAGTAGCTGGGGCTACAGATGCGTGTTTGTATCTTTTGTAGAGATAGGGTTTTGCCATGTTGCCCAGGCTGGTCTCGAACTCTTGAGCTCAAGCCATCATTTCGCCTCAGCCTCTCCAAGTGGTGGGATTACAGGTGTGAGCCACCGGAACCCACCTAACTTGTGCTAATTCTCAATGATCTAAAACAATGCTTCTCAAACTGTCTGTAGTATGGAGCAGTTTTTTTTGTTTGTTTGTTTTTTTTAATGTTTTGTGGACTCATACTTTTGTAAAATGTAATTTAAAAATTAGAAATGAAGAATGTAAAAAGTAAAGACAGGCCAGGTGCAGTGACTCATGCCTGTAATCCCAGAACTTTGGGAGGCCAAGGTGGGTGTATCACCTGAGGTCAGGAGTTTGAGACCAGCCTGGACAACATGGCGAAATCCCGTCTCTACCAAAAATACAAAAATTAGCTAGGCGTGGTGGCATATACCTATAGTCTCAGCTACTCGGGAGGCTGAGGCACGAGAATCACTTGAACCTGGAAGGCAGAGGTTGCAGTGAGGCAGGATCACACCACTGCACTCCAGCCTGGGCGACAGAGTGAGACCCTGTCTCAAATACATACATACATACATACATACATACATACATACATAGTAAAGACATACAAGACACAAGCCTCAATTTTTTTTTTTTGAGACAGGGTCTTGCTCTGTTGCCCAGGCTCCAATGCAGTGGTATGATCATGGCTCACTGCAGCCTTGACCTCCTGGGCTCAAGCAATCCTCCTGCCCTGGCCTCCGGATTAGCTGGAACACAGGCATGTGCCATCACACTCAGCCAATTTTTTTGTTTGTTTTTTGTGGAGATGGGGTCTTGCTGTGTTGTCCAGGCTAGTCTCAAACTCCTGGGCTCAAGTGATCCTCCCACTTCAGCCTCCCAAAGTCCTAGGATTTCAGGCATGAGCCAATTTTTGTTATTAGAGTCAAAACAACCCTGTCAAATTGCTTTGAAAGTTTCTAAAATTCTTAATTTCTGTACTTATCCTGCTATGAGTTGATAACAGTGTGCAGAGCAGCTGCAGTTCCATGCAACAAACTGTGGGCAGCATTAATTCAAAAGATTAACAAGGCCAGGCACTGTGGCTCATGCCTGGAATCCTAGCACTTCGGGAGGCCAAGGCAGGCAGATCACCTGAAGTTGGGAGTTCAAGACCAGCCTGACCAACATGGAGAAACCCCATCTCTACTAAAAATACAAAATTAGCTGGACGTGATGGTGCATGCTTGTAATCCCAGCTACTTGGAAGGCTGAGTCAGGAGAATCACTTGAACCCAGGAGGTGGAGGTTGCAGTGAGCCAAGATCACACCATTGCACTCCAGCCTGGGCAACAAGAGGGAAGCTCTGTGTCAAAATAATAAATAAATAAATAAATAAATAAATAAATAAATAAATAAATGATTAACAAAAGAAGACTTGGGCCAGGTGCAGTGGCTCACGCCTGTAATCTCCAGCAATTTGGGAGGTCGAGGAGGGCGGATCGATT